AAATTTCTTTTTCCGAGTATTTTATTGTTTTCTGGACAACTTCTCCGTTGTTTCAAAGGAATTATTAGGAAAAGTATTCGATGAGCACGAGGGGGAGGACGACGTTGCTTTTTTTCTTTTCCCCCTCCTTCCCTCCCTCAGTCTTTTTTCCCGCTTATCCCTTCCCCTATCTGTAAAGAATACTTAGCACTGTTATCTATTATGCCAAGAAGTTGAACGCTTTCCAGGTGTTTTTGGGTAATTCGCAAACGAAAGAGCCTGACATACCTTGCCAGTTTATTATGTCCACTATTGGCTTAGCGTTTTCAGTGTACCACTTCTGAGCATTTTTACCCTCGCACCCTTAAAACTTAAGGAATTCAGCCGTTCCGAATTTTCTTTGGCTCTACGGGCCGTTGTTTGGACAGGTATGGTTCGGCTTATCAGTGGCCGCAAAAAACCACTTGACAATTTCACCCTCTTCTTCGATTGTCCTAATTGGTCAGTCCAATTTTGGTTCGGCTTTCTGTGGCCTCTCTCTTAGATCATATTCCTCCCTCCCCCCTCCCTGGCTGCAGATGATTTAGCGACTTGAACTTGTGCATAGCGTAAAACCAGTAAGGACGAATAATAAATCGCAGCCGTTAGAAGGTCGAATTGTAAACTTGCTAAAAGTGGACGGCCCAAAGAAATCAAAATGTGGGATGGCCGGGGTCTGAAAGAATAAAAAGATGAGTGATGGGATAAGTTTGTTAAAATAATTTGCGCCCATTGGTAGGCCGAGCCGTAGTATTTAAAGTTGCGACATTCCGAGAAGCGAAACGTCACCGTCACTATGCAGTCTGTGTTTCATCCCTTAGCTGTAATTCCGCCTGCCATTACAATAAGGTAAAAGGCGGTACAGGCCGTAACAGCCCTACAGGCAATAGAAAAAAGCTAAAGAGCTCGCAGACAGGAACAAGTTCGATCAATTCAGTAAAGGGTAAAGACCAGTACGGGCAGTACAAGCCCTATAAGGAGAATCTATGAACAGCCCATCCGGAGGACAGCGGTCACCAGCAATGAAGTAGTAGCAAATAAGTTTGAGTTTGTAAAAAAAAAAGATAACTTGAGTGAATTCTCCCTCTGTGTGTTACAGTCACCGAAGAAAATTGGCGATGATATAGCAAAAGCGACGCAGGATTGGAAGGGTCTAAAAGTGACATGCAAATTGACGATCCAGAATCGTGTTGCCAAAATCGACGTGGTACCCAGTGCCGCATCGCTGCTCATCAAAGAGCTCAAGGAGCCATCGCGTGATCGGAAGAAGGTCAAGAACGGTATGCGCAGTGTGATGACACCCTCTTCATATATATATAGGAAAACACAGAAAGGCAGAGGGAGAGACAAAGTACACTGCATATATATATAGGCGGCGGGTCGGGTGACCAACGCACGGTCCCCATCCCCCAGTCATTTTTCGAGCATTGTGAGACACGATGTCTTCGCATACCCTGAAAAAAGACTGGTAACCGTATGGTATGCATGCACCTGCAAATTCGGGGGAAAAATTGTCCGGTAAGCGCTCAGCTATGTGTTATTGTATATCACGAAATTAGCTTACTCCTGTAAATAGTTGCATCCATTTTTTGCGGTAAAACGTTGTGCATAGTTGATAGATGCAGCGAAATATGTGGAAATTAGTTTTATTGCGTCTTAGTCTAACTGGGTAATATTACGTAAAAACTTGGGTAAAATTACAGACTTTTTGGCAAGTTGCCAACTCGCGGTGAGGCTTGTGTTTCGTAGTTTGGTACCATACGGACATCCCAGTTTCCAAGCTTTTGTAGTTTTGTAGTTGAATCACGGTTTCATGTGCGGACTCATGGCCTCGTCATGTGAGGTTTTGTTTTTTCGTTGCAATTTCGTCATGTTTTTTGCAAAAACTCATCAGAAAGTCCTGTTCTAAGAATATAGCAACTCACAGTGATGAGCAGTTCCTGACTTATGTGGAAAAAAAAAAAACCAGCGATGATTTGATTGAATTTGGAGCGAAGTTTCGGGTAATGATGGAAAATTACGGAATTTAATTACATTAGTGTCAACTTTCTTTCGCTGGAGACGATTACGTGTTGTTTGCAGTGAGACACAACGGCGATTTGACGGTTGAGCAAATAATCA